TGTATTTATTAGAAAATTTTGATTTAACTGTTTTCTTTTAATTTTAATAAGTTTTATGGTCATGTATGTTGGCTTGGGAAATAAATATTCTTTTAGGAAAGGAAATATTTGAAAAAGTCTATAGTGCAGGTTAAAATTTTAGCAATATTCAATAGTGGCACTCTCAAGAACTTTTCATCTTAGTAAGTTATTTTCTCTTTTAATAAGCATGACATTCTTTAGATTGAAGTTGTGATTTAATTTATTTTTTTGTCTGGCAATGCATTTGATGTATTAGAAGTGCAAATGTATCACATGGTTTTGCAACTATTGTAGATGACGTCATAGTGTGCAACAGATTAAGCTTGCAATTTGCATATGGTTTGAAAGTGGAAAAATTGGTGGTCAAATTTTTAACTCTTCATTTTGAATTTGAGGGTTGCATTATACATGTGAATATATTGTACACACAAAAATGTTGTATATTAATAAACATTGTCTAAATGGCAAATCAAACTACTCTTTTTTCTGTCTTGTACATAGTGTGTCATAGGTTTTTGTCACAAGTATAAACAGTTCAAAATTAAATCTGTCAAACATTTCTATAACAAATGGACTCTACTTCTAAAGTGAGAGTGCTAGCTAGCATTTAGTCAGTTTTCATTTTTTGTCAAAATTAAAGTCCATTTAAAATTGACTGCAGATTTCTAGCTTGATTCCATTATGATACTGAAATTAATTACATTTTCCCTGCTTTTGGTTTAAATAATTAAGTATGCCTGCTTCTATTTAGATTTATTTGTCTGTATTTTTTAACTTAAGAGTTTTGATTCTAAGATATTTGGTATTGTTATTTCACTAGAAACTCGGGCACATGAATTGTATTAGAATTTTGGAAAGTCATAAATATTGGGTATATGCAAAAGTTCTCAGCACCCATTTCTTTAAAAACTAAACTAGAAAATAATTTTTAAAAAATAAAATACAAAGGAGTTGGCAAGGGCTGCATATTATGAGGATATGTAGGATAGATAACAGTTGACTCTTGACTTGAAGAGGTTAAGATTGTGGTGATCAGGGAAGCATCCTCCTGGGAGTCTGTTTCACATTATTATAGTTCTAGAAAAAAGCTGTCTAAGTGGAACTTTCAACTTAAGGGATGTGTACATGGCATGGTGAGTTCCAGCTATGAAAGTCAAAGACTGGTGGAACCAAAGAGTGTAGTTTGCCCAAACATCTGCCATGAAAATAGCACTAGAGTAGCAAGAGGCTAGCAAGGTTTTGTCTGCAGGAAAGGGGTTGAAGGGTAAAAAAACAATTCATCACTCACAAGGCCACACAAAGGCTTTTGAACTTGGTTGAGGTGTGCTAACATTTCTACAATTTCAATCAATTTTAATGTCATTTTAGTTATATAACAAAAAGCAGAATGATATACATGACATCTTATCATTGTATGCTATGGGTTTGTAATTTGAATACACTATTGCAAGCTAGGTTGCAGGGTAATGAATATTGTTTGGTCAAATGAGGAATCTATATTGAATAAAAAAAAAACATGTAACACAAAGTGGTCACCATAACCTCCTGGAGATGATACCATTGTCTATTTGATTCTTTGATTTTTCATCTTCAACCATTCATTCTACTGATTTATATTTATTACTTCAAACTGGTCTAATTATAATTCATTTTTTGGTCACATTAGAAGAAACTATACTGAATCAAAACCATTTAAAAAACTAATAATTCAGTTATATAAATGGAAAGTTAATTAGATTTTATGATCTATTCTATTTTCACTATTAAATTTTTGCATTAAATTAAACAATTGACTGATGTTTTCATTTTTTTAAAGCAGATATTTCAAGAAATGTTTGTAATTGCATTGAGAATTAAAATTTACCTGAATTTTTCTACAATTTTATGAATAAAACATTTGTGAGGATTTTTAAGATGGATGAATATTATCTAAAAAAAGTAACTTATAACCACAAGTAGAAGGGATAAAAGAAAGGAAATGTTTTATTAGAAGTTTCTTTTCATTTACATCTTCACTTACTCACCACCAGATCTGATAAGTAACTATTAAATATTCAAGGGATTGTTTTTAATTAATAATTTGAAAGCAGCTAATGAATTGTTTAAGAGAATTTTATTTTTATTCTGAGTCTTCTTACTCTGACATTAAATTAAATAGTTCATTTAAGATAGTTCACAGATAATAGTAAAGGCAATGAAATTAATGATTATTCTGGCACAACAGATAAAATATTCCACTATATAGTTAATATCTTTTTTCCTTTTAATCATTTCACCCCGAGCAAGGTGATAATGCCACTAAAATGCAAGAGAGTGAAAGAGAATGTGAAGACTTTAGAAGAAGAAACCAGAATTCCAAGCCAAAACAGTAAACAAGGGATAAACCTCTACTCCTGTTCAAAAGATAGGGAATGAGTTGTAATTTTATCATTATAGCCTATCATACAATTAAAAGTGGGATTTTTAATTGGATTAGTACAATGATAACCCTAATATACTATACATTTTCCTTTGTGTTAAGAAATAAAAGTATTTTCATAAAATATTAAGCATTTTCAGAAAACGTTTTTCTTTAATATATGGTAAAGGTAATATTAGCTGTTTCCCTACAAGGAAACATTTGGCATTCATTGACCAAGCAGCCAGTACTGTTTTCCATTGAAATTTATAAAATCTTTCCCTTAAAACACTTTATTAGGAAAACAGGTTTCTTAAGTCAAGTAGCTTTTATCACTCTTTCTAGTACTGATGAGAGTTTCCTTCTGAACCTTCTATTTGAAGTGGTGTGGAATGTTAAGATCCTGATTATATCATTATTTTCTCTTTGAGTTACATGTGCTGTCCATTTTAGCTGTTGCTGCTGTTGGTAATCCTCAAGTAATGTGGTTTATTGTTATTTAGTACAGTTCTTTATGATTCTGTAGTGCTAGTCCATAATGTTCAAAGAATGGTGGTCTTTGCCAAGAGGCACTCAAGCTTCACTCGCTCAAAGCCTTTTTTCATCATTGATCTTAGAAAGCAGTTGTATAATGCTGACAGTTTAGGTATTTCTGAACAGATTTAGTGCCATGCATGGCATCTATATGGATGTCTTGACCTGATGAGACTATTTAAGAACATGACTCTAGTTTTCAGGTTGATGTTTTGGTTTCATAGCAATTTTTGGTGCTGGGCAAAACTACCTCTGACACAGCCTATTATATGTTCAATTTCTTTTTCTTCTATACTTAATTTATTATAGCTGACACATATGCCAAGACATATGAAGTGTTTAGTATTTACTAATTCCACATCCTGTAGTTTTATGATGGATTCAGAGTAGGTGCCATCACTGATTTCATTTGAATTTGAGATCATAGTTTCTGTTTTGGAAAGGTTTATCTCGAGTCACTTTTATTGGAACACTTCATAGAGGATACTAATTTTCTGTTCAAGATCATTCTTATCTCAACTATGAAACACCTATGTCATCAGCATTTGAAACTTGAAAGACAATTTCTAATGAATGAGAAGAAGTCTCTTTTGTTATGGCCATATGCTGCTGTGAGGTCAACAAAGTAGGTATACAGTTTCCTATTAGAAAGGTAAGTAATTTCTTGGAGTTTTTTGATTATATTGTTGCATCCACTTCCAGAATGAAAACCAAACTGGGTCATGCGGAGTTGACTTTCATAAAATGATGAGAGCCTAGTTAATACAATGTTCATTAATACTTTCTCCATGATGGATCCAGCTAAGATGCCTCTGTATGTGTGAGGGTCTTGAAGGTTACCTTTCTGTTTCCATAATCTATGATAGACCCCACTTTTTTAGGGGTGCATTTCTGATTCTAAACTTCTTTAACTTGCTGTTTAATTCAGGGCGGGAGTAAGCTATTTTCAAAAGTTCTGCTTCAATGTTGAGTGATGCTTTATTATTCCTTAATTTTTTAATAACTTTCTTAATTTCCTCATCAATAGGTTAATTATTATTTATGTTTGGAGATGGACTTTGTAATGTTTGAATAAATATTAGTATATCTTCTATTTCTGCAGGAATCTTGAGTTTAATTCATTTCAGGGCTGAAATGCAACTCAGTGTTTTTTGAGATCAGGAAGTTTTTTTTTTTCTGTGGGGGTTTCAATGTCTTTTGGACAGAAGTAGATGTTTATTCCTTGTTTCCTATTTAGGATTGTGTTTCCAGTTCCTTGTAAAGTTTTATCATTCTCTTTCACACCCTGTTGCCCCTTGCATCTTAGTGGCATTATGACCTTGGTTGGGATGACTTGATTTAAGAAATGATATCTTCAACATATTGCCTATCTTCCTTATTTAATTAAATTTACGTTTTAATTTTTTAATATTCCCTATTTAATATATTTTCTATTTTCTTTAAAGTGATGTAAACTCTGATAAATTACTACATTTTAATGCATTAAAGATTGTTTTTAAGAGTTGATTAAGTTCTGTTTACTGACTTTATGTCTATTGTTATAGATAACAAATATACTTCATGCCTGAGATCTTGTGCATTTCCTTTTGACTTTGATGACCTAATTTTCAAATCATGTAAAATTTCCCCATTTCCAAAAGATTGGAGCAACACAATTTGTTAATAAACTTTGTCAATAACTATAACTATAAATTTAAATTATTATGAGTCCTGAAATAATTGATATTTTACATTTATTTATATGCGTGTTACTTTAAAAATTTCATCTTTAATGAACAAATACATTTTGAAGTTCCTTTGAATTGTAATGAGAATAATTTAGGATACACCTTTCAGGTCTTCTTTGTATGGTGAAGCCATGACCCTATACTTCACAGGGGATTCTACAAGATTAACAAAAACAACAAATGTCCAAGTATATTTTCTTATAGACATGTCAAAGCAACAGTTAATAAATCAAAGTTACATACATTCTATATCATATACAAAAGTCACACATTGTAAAGTATGGAAGCTGTTGTGTGTAGCCAGTTTGGATTGAGGCTTATGGCCACATTGTGTTGAAACACCCATTCACATATGATCACTGAAGTTAATCAACATTGAGCCTGGTCAGTACCTAGATGGGTGACTGATTGGGAATACCAGGTGCTGTAAGTTTGGATGTGCAAGTGGTGTAAGTGATAATGGCCCAGAATTGTTAATCAGAGAGCCAAGTCCCAATTCTTGTTTCATTGCATTCACTTACATGCAAATGCCTTGGGAAAGGTATGAATCTGCCTCTTCCCTTCCAGCTATGGGTTAATTAGTAAAACTTGTATTACTAAGCAATTATTATTTTCCCCCCAAATTCTTACAAATATCTTCTGGCTTTAAATAATCTGTAAAGATTTGAAAAGCCGTAGAAAATGAATCAATCAATAAAACCAGTTTGGATTAACACATTTTCAAGTGACAAATCCTCAAAGATTTTAAAAGAAAAATATAAAACATATATAAAGATTTAAAAAAAGAAATATCAGGTTAGCCAAAAGTCTGTTCACTTATTAAGTAGAAAATATAATTAATAAAACAAAGATTCTGGTCAGCCCAATACAAAACAAATAAAAATTGTAAGGAAAAGTGTTTTTTTTTATATGGTATAGAAATAAAGTAAAAATACTTAGAAAATAAGTTATGTGATTTAATGTTAAATATAAGATTGATGGTTTTGACTATAAACTCTTTCCTCATGTAAAAATAAACGACGAGTGTTTTCAATTGACATACACAATTTGGAAACAAAAACAATTTGTTATAAAATTAAAAAATATGTACAGACAAGTTTGACAAATAGGTATTCACTAAACTTGTCTTAGCATGGTACAATGTCACTTCATGAAAGTTAAGCTCCCTACATTAGCAATTACCCGAGTGAGATTAATTTGCTAACAACCACCCCATAGCAGGTGCAAACACATTTATACAAGGGGATGCTTGAAAACTTTTTAGACAAACCAAAAGCTTTAGAAAAAATAAATAAAACACTGATGTTTAGTCATTTGGTCAAATTTTTGAAAGTGAGTCAGTGGTGGGTACATATAACTTTCAGCACCCCATCATAGAATCAAGATGATTAATATATATATATATATATAAAAGTTCACAGAATATACTGTCTTTTTTTTAATCATATATATATATATATATATATATATATATATATATATATATATATATATATTATTTATCAGGTTTTTGCCTGCTTGCTATCACTTCACAAAGTAAGATATATATATTTGAGATCTTTGAAACAAAAAAATTTTAAATAAACATTTCATTCATAAATTGGCTTGTTATAGTTAAGGAAAGTCTTACAAATAGATGCCAACTTGTTGAAGGCCAAGTAAAATGCAAATTTCAAACACTTTTCTGCACTATATAAGACGATATTTCTAAACAGGCCTATTTTTTATATGAAAATCAAAACAATCTTTGAATAAAAAAACACAAATGAAGGACAGTTAGTTAATGAAATAAACTTTTTTAAAATATGCAAATTAGTTAAACCTGAAGTGTGATATTGCCTAGAATTAGATAATATATAATACAGATATTGAGTTTTTAGTGTGTAAACCCCTCCCTTGCCTCAAGGTTGGCTTTCCTTATGCTGCGCGCATTGACAGAAATTTCAATTATGGTGGGGATTGTAAGGGACAACTTCCCTTTCCTTACTATCAGTCTCCCCATTTCGTGGGTTGAGTGCCATCGTAAACCCCGGGATCAATTAGATTTTCTTCATTATTGTTGACAGGCCTTGAAGGTCATTCCTCAGTTCAGTGACCTTTCTCAGCTTAAGATGAATATTAGAACTGATAGAAAATTTCGACAGACTTTAGCAAAAGGTGGGTGACTGAGGCGTGCTTGGTCCATTTGTATGGGGCTAGCCTTGATTTTCTCTTTTAGGTCAACCTATATCGCATTGGGGCGCTTTTCTGTGGAGCCTTCCCCTGGCTAGGCAAGACATGCTTTGTGTACCTAGTTAATGTGAGTAAGTGTTGGTCCTGGCCTGCTCCCGGCTACATCTTTTGTTATGATCCAAGTTGAGATTCCCAATCTCCCAGTTTGTTTTTGGCCATAAAAATGTCATCTCAACTGGATCAGCTTTTAAATTTCCCATATCCGTATATATATTTTTCTTTTCCCTCTCTTAGTGAAATAGCCTCTTGATTGTCCAAAAGTAATACAAAAAAAAAATCTCTTTTTTTGAGAAGTTGGACACGTGGGTGCCCATGTTAAAAACTGACCTTGTTTCACAACCTGACTCAGTAGGGAAGGGGGTCAAGTAAATCAACCTCTCTCTAGAGTAGAATACACATTCTGATACTTGCCAGTCACAGGGATCCATCTCTGCGCTGGTAGTATCACAGCTATAACTAGCTTAGTCTGAGTGAAGACACTCAGGTCCCCACATTAAAAACTGACCTTGTGTCACAATCTGACTCAGTTGGAGTCAAGAAAATCTACCTTGAGTGGTTTGTAACACTTTTATTTATCATCTCTGTCTTCAGAGGCAACTCTGTCAAAGGGGAACAGTTGCACCACAGAGTGAGAGAGATTGCGGTTGATGGTTGCAGAGCTCGGGGAATAAAGTAAAGCTTTTAATCTTAGAAGTTGTGAGAGAATTATTCATATAGATTCCCTAATATAGGTTTTACTATTATGGGGTAGACTGTTCTAATTTCATGTGCCATGTCTAATGGATATCAGTTATCTGCTGTTAATTCTATAATTATCTATATGATCTATAATTCCCCTTAACCCGGTATTGAACTCACACTCTTTGGGTCCTGTCACTGGATCTAACTAATGCCTTTATCCACTGTGCCATGTGCCCTTGAGGGTATCTGTGTATGAATTTCTGGGTATTATAAACCTAATGTCTTCATACCTTTTTTTACCAGTGCTCATATTGCAATTTTTGCATGTTTTTACCAGAGCCCATATTGCAATTTTTCTTATTATTAATGCTTTTCTCTGACACTTCTTATTAATGATTCCCATACTGTATTCATTTCTATGCTTGGTTGGCTCAGGAGATTTTTGTGGCCTAGCATATGTGCTGATTCCTTAAGTTTACAAATTTTCCAATGATGTTCTTTGTCTATGATCTCAACATGATCCCACAGAGGGCAGTGATCTCCCTTTTCTCTTCATATGTGGTCAGCCACACCTGATTTTTCCACTTCCCCTCATGCTACAGATTTCTGGTTTTCTTGAAGTCTTACCTTAAGGGGGTGACTTGTTTCCCCTTTATATTTCTTTCCGCAGTTGCATGGGATAGCGTACACACAGTCTTTAGTCATGTTCTCCTCTATGGGGGGGTCTTACTTTGGTGAGATATCTGTGAAGTGTCGTCCAGCTTTTGAAGGTTGTCCTGGTGTTATATGGACTGCAGATCCTTTGTATTTTCTCTGATAACCCCTTCACATAAAGAAGGAAGACTGTTTTCTGAGTGTTGTTGTCCTCCTATCCCAGTTTATTGGAGCTGCTGCCATGTACCCAGGGTAGTTGTTACATTGTAGGGTACTACTTATACTGACCAATTCTTTATCTAATGTCTCTGGGTCGCCACTTATAACCTTTGCTTGGTGTAAGCAGTGGACGATCCCTTTCTTTATGCTGTGTGGATGGTGGGAGTTGAAATTGAGGTACTGTCCAGTGAATGTCAGTTTACAGTATATGGATGTCTTGAACCCATGCTCTGTTCGAGATATTAGAACATCCAGGAATGGGAGAGTGTTGTTACTCTCAGAGATGCAACTGAGAGATGATATATAGATGTGTTACAGACCCATCAAGGGAGGGGTCTGTATTTACTTGACTCCCCACTGAGTCAGGTTGTGACACAAGGTCAGTTTTTAATGTGGGGATCTGAGTGTCTTCACTCGGGCTGCTGGTCTTAGCTTGTCCAAGCTGGTCAGAGCTGGCCTGAGCTTATCATAGATGGTCCAAGCTGGTCAGAGCCTGTCCAAGCTAGTCAGAGCTGTGATACTAACAGCACAGGCAAATATCAGGATGGGTATACCACTCAAGAGATGGTTGATTTACTTGACACCACCCTCACTGAGTCAGGTTGTGACACAAAGTCAGTTTTTAACATGGGAACCTGAGTGTCTTCACTTGGGCTGCTGGTCTTAGCTGGTCATAGCTTGTCAGAGCTGGTCTAAGCTAGTCATAGATGGTCATAGCCAGCCCAAGCTAGTCATAGCTGTGATACTACCAGCATGGGGATGGAACCCTGTGTCTGGTAAATATCAGAATGTGTAGAGATCTATATACATCAAATTGTCTTTAAAATTAAGTGGCAGCAGAAGAATTATCATTGAAAATTTAAAAGCTAAGCTTAAACATTAATTCAATATTTAAATACAGCGATCAATTTTGAGTTCTTCTGTAGTTTATTGATGCCTATTGCAGCTACTCCTTCCTAGCCATTGTGATAATGACCAAACCAAGAATCCTCTGCAGGAGCTAGCCTAAATGCTGCCTCATAGGGTGGCTTTTAAGCTAATTTATAATAAATTGTGCACTGCAATTTTGGATTTTGGATACAAAAGGAAAATAAGTGTCACTCCTCTTGAACTATGACAGCAACGATAATGGCTAGTATAATATATATTTTTAACCTTGCATAATCTTATAACCCTGAATCTGAGCTCAATGAAAATTGTTCCCTGCACATTACTTTTCTAGGGCTTTTGAATGAGTGGGAGTGGAGGAGTTGCTTGGACACACATACACACAAATATACACACACTGTATTTTATATATATATATATATAAATAAAGAATGCCTACATAAGTTTATAAAGAGATACATACACTGCATGAACCCCACTCGAATGTACATATTTATTCAAATGTGTCATAAATATACTTATGAGGGGGTTGTGGAAAATTTCACAGCATGACCACCTCTCAAAATCAGTATTCTGTGTTTTAGTCATTGAGATATTTTCTAGAAGTTTCTAGAACTTTTTCAGGATCCATTCATACATTCATAATGTACATATTTTTATATATATATATATATATATATATATATATATATATATATATATATATATATATATATATACATACATACATACACACTCAGAAAAAAATATATTGAC